AGGTCCCTTCCAACCCTAAACATTCTATGATTCTATGAAGTGGTGTTTTGGGGAAGTGTCATCTATTATTCCTTTCCATAAAAGAGATGAGACTTCCATGTGATCATCCCATGCAAACATTTAAAAGAGATTTTTAATTGTTTAAAGCATTAGAAAATCTTTTATCTTTCTATGCTATCCTTCTAAATTTGCTTCCAAACATCCCTCCAATTGAAAAACATACATGAAAACTGGGAACACAGTTTTCTTCTCTAATGAGCAGTAGATCTATCTACTTCTGTGTTTGAACTTCTTTGACTACCAAAAAAAAAAAAAAATGTGTGGGGAGGGAGATGAAGGTAGAACAAGTTGACAGGTTTAAATTTCCAGCAGAAGATTTTCCTAGTTCCCTTGCTATATTTTCTCTCCCAGTAACACCAGCACAGCATGGTAGCACTTTGAACTGCATCTGGGAAGTAACAGAACAATCCCCAGTATTACCAGGTTTTGTTTTATTTAAGCTGGATGTGTGCACAGCACAACTACATACAGAGTCTGGGTAGCACACTTCAAAACAGTGGCTGGAAAGAGCTGCAATCTTACAAACAGATACAATTGCTGAAGACTTTTGTATCATAAGACTAGAGCTTGAAAATGTTAAGTGCAGTATATGTCCAATATAAGGAATCAGCTTAAGTGAATACAACCTATGTGAAATAACCTACTGGTGCATACTGCTGATTTCTTTTCACTGGTACATCATTTTTCATAAGAAAATGGGGAGATAGCCAAAAACCAATAGTTTAGTAGCAAGATGAAGTCAGGAAAGAAGTCATATGCTCCTAAACAGGCTAATGAACAAGCCTCAAAAATACATTAGTGAGTATATTTCTAAGAGACAAAATCAAACGAAGAAGACACTTTCAAACGGTGCTGAAGTAGTACTTTAGCTCTATATATTATGCAAGATGTTAACAGTCTTGCTTACTTATTAAAAATGTGGAAAATGCAGTTTGCTTCCTAAATCACACACCAACTGCTTTTATTAAAGTCTATTATACTACATGAGTGCTTCACAGAGCTTAATTGTCCAAATGGACTTATTTTAAAAAAGACTAAACTACATCCCCTGCAGTGGGAAAACATTATCAGGCAATAAATTCAATAATTCTAATCCATGATATATTCCCTGGTCATTTTTATATTTATGTGAACTGTAACAGTTGTTGATTGGCACATCGGTATCATATAAAAGCACTGTATGTAAATGCAGGAGAAGTCACTGCACCTTCCCTGGAAGGTTTTATAAGCCAGGTAAAAGAATATGAGCAAGAGGATGTAAAACAGCAAGAAGACAACGTCGTGCGTGAAGTAGTTACCACAGAGATTCATCTGCCTAATCAGTGTGGACATTTTCTAGTAAACACTGTAGAGAAGAGTTTTAAACACCGAAGAAGTACGTTGAGACAGTTTTACAGGTATCTGGGAAAGCTCTCACCAGTAAGGAGTATCAACATTTCCTGGAAAAAAAAGAAAACGCATAGCCTAGCCGAAAACATGAAACAGGGAAATATCACAGCACCATACAGAAGAATACTTCTTGCCTTATTCCAAAGGTAACATTAACCAAGCACTGAAAGCACCATCTATGAGAAACCACCTCATGTTTCCCCAGAAACAACAACTGAAGAGCAAACTTGGAAAACAGCACAGACATTTTTTTTTTCAGTCTGACCCAGACTTGTACAGTCATTCTACTTAACATTTCCTATACAAACCATTTCTTCCCCCACTGAAGTGCTACTTAGGGAAGTGCAAGTTAGCTAACTGTAAAACCTGTGGGGGAAATCCTACTGGCAGGAGGAAATGACAACAATTCAAACTGATTCTTGAATTACGTTTGCATGTGTTTTACTACTAAAGCAATCACTAATGCTTTGAAAGGTACATTCCAGTGAGTAACTCCAGAGCTCCTTTCTAGTTTCAGACATTAATTTATAACACGACTAAGTGACAAATAGGTGTTTATTGATTTTTTTTTTTCTTTCGGCCTCACTTTTCCGGGCTGGGAAACCAGACTTCACTCACCTACCTGGCAGCGTTGGGCAGCTGAACCTTCTAGAGCGCTGGCAGGGTCCAGGCACGAGGCGAACACGAGGCCCCCCCGCCACGCGCCTCGCGGGGGGCTCTCAGCCGCCGCAGCTCCCTCGGCGGGGAGGTGAGACAGGGGAAGGAGAGGGGCGAGCAGCAGAGCTCGCTCCCCGCGCATCAGCCCGCCAAGACAGACTGGAGGACGTCGAGGCCGCCGCGCCCGGGCGGGGCCGTTAGGGTGGTTGGGACCGTTGGGCCGCGCGTCCACCGCCCCTCTGCCCCCCCGCCAAGGGGGCGGCTCCCGACTCACCGATCCCAGGGGCCACATAGATGAAGTAGAGGCAGGACGAGGAGAAGGAGAAGAAGAAGATGAAGGCGAGCATGGAGCGATTGGAGACCCGCAGCGCCCTGCGCAGCAGTGACATCCTTCCTGCCCTCCTCCCTCCGGGCCGGCCCATGAAGTAGAGGCAGGACGAGGAGAAGGAGAAGAAGAAGATGAAGGCGAGCATGGAGCGATTGGAGACCCGCAGCGCCCTGCGCAGCAGTGACATCCTTCCTGCCT